AGCAGAGTATCCACGTCCCCAGAAAATATACTCTAAACAAATCAGAAAATACCTGAAGCAGTGGGATAAGAAAGGGAAAAAGAGAAAAAAGAAAAAGAAAAAAAAGAAAAAGATAAAGATAAAAACAAAAACAAAAACAAACAAAACAACAACAATAAAAAAAAAAAACCAGAATGTGATCAAATATGATCAGGCTGGTATATAGATCAGTGCCACTCACTAGATTTGGGGTGTATTTTGGTCTTTTAGAAGAAAGTGCCTCCCAAAATTTTAAAGAAAGAAAAACATATATGTACAAAAATAAGGGTTGATATGATGAAGGGATGGAATATGAGTGTAAAAATGGAAATTATAAAAAATTTTATAAAAGGAATTGATAAGAAGTTGTTTGAAAAAAGAAGAGGATTTAAAAAAAGAAAAAAGAAAAAGAAAAAAAAAAGGGAGAGGATGTGATTAGGCAGGGGAATAGAAAACACCATATACTAGAGATTTAGGGTATATTTTAATCTGTTAGAAGAAACTATCTCAAAATTTTAAAGAGAGAACAACTTATATATATAAGCCAAAAATATGGGTAACTACTATGAAGGGATAGAATATGACTCTAAAAATGAAAAATAAAAATGTTTTTTTTTTTTAATAAAGGGATTGATAAGATGTTGGTTGAAAAAGGGAAAAAGAAAAATTCAAAAAGAAAAAACGACAGTTAAAAAAAATTTAACTTTGAAAGACTAAAGAATAATGGTAAAAAAGCCATGAATTCTATGTGCAGTAGTCCCCTAGCGCTGGAGTTCTGCCGTTCTCATTGGTCGGTAAACTTGGTCTTGGCTGGCTGTTCTCGCTGATCTTCTGGGGAGGGGCCTGTTGCCGTGGTTTCCAAATGTCTCTGCCGGAGGCGGAATTGCCCCGCCCTTGCCCCCTCCCGGCTGAGTAATCTGCTCGGGTTTGCTCTCCGGGCTTTTGTTCCCTGCGAGCTTTCCGTACAGCTTTGGAGGCGGAGAGTGAAAATGGCGGCCTCCCAATCTCCGCCCCGGAGGAGCCGAGAACTCGGGGCCCCGCTCCTCAGTGAGCCCCCAGAGAAAAGCGGTCAGTCACTCCCGTCTCCCCGGTCTCCAGCCGCACTCCGTGCTCACCCGGCCTGTGACCGCGCGTTTCTATCTCTGGCACCCGACCCCGGGTGGAGTCTCCAAACCCAGCAGATCCCTGCGGTGCCCTCCCGCACGGCTCCTCCCGGGGGAGGAAGGTGAGTCTCCCCGGATCTGCCGCTTGTTGGGTCCCTGCTGGAGGAGCAGGGGCCCGACTGTGCCGCGGATCACAGTTTATGGTCACCCCGAGCTGAGAGCCCGCGCCTGGGCTCCGCCTCTGCAGCCGGCTTCCCTGCTCCATTACCTGGGAGCTCTGCCGCACTCAGGCACCCCCGGTCTTTCTGCGACCCCGAGGGTCCTGAGACCCCACTGTCCCGGAGGGTTCCACCCCCCGCTTAGCCACCAGAGTGACGTCCCTCGGCGGAGCAGACTTTTAAAAGTTCCGATTTTGTGCCCCGCGGCTCCATCACTTGCCACAAGCGGCCGACGGAGGCCCCTCCCCCGCCGTCTATCCTCCCGAATATCGCCTCGGATTCACTTCTCCGCACGTCCTACCTTCCAGAAAGTGGTCGCTTTTCTGTTCAGAGAGTTGTTGCTATTCCTTTCTTCGATCTCCTGTTGAGTTTGTAGGTGTTCAGAATGGTTTGATCCCTATCCAGCTGAATTCCTGAGAGGAGACGAAATCCAGGTCTCCTACTCCTCCGCCATCTTGCTCCACCCCCCCATCTGGGGAATTTTTACAAATATTGGTGCTTTGGTTGCATGTCCCATCATCTAGGTTAAAGTCAGTTGTGAAATTTTTTTTTGATTTCAATGTGCATAGGATTCATTCATTGGTTTATGGATCATGGACTTCATTTTTGAATAATTTTGGGTTTTTTTTTTTCTCTCTTATTCAAGCAAGACAAATGGCTGTAAGGAAACGAGTAGAAAAACAAAGATGAAAATTATGCACCAGTAATCAAGAAAATGTAAACTGAAACCACAAATGATTTTCAACTATTCTAACTAATGAGGCATTGTGTTTTTTTTAATTTTTATTTATTTATGTTTTAATATTGGTACAAAGAATATCCTTTTTATCTTTACAAAGGACCAAGAATCAGAATGTCTTGGTATCTTTTAACAGCAATACAAGAAAATAAAAAATAATAGAGAAATGTCTTTAAAATTCAGGAAAAAATTTTCCAGCCTAAAATTTGGCACCAAATTTAGATATTAATTAAGTGAGAGGATGTTTAAAAAAAATTGTGAACAAGCAAATTCCCAAAAGCTTCATATCTTTATGTACCATTTCTCAAAAAATTATTAAAGGTTATGTTCCACTAAAATGAAGAAATAAGCCAAGAAAGAAAAAAGTATTGGGGCCATGAAAGGAGATCCCACAGAAGAGAGAGGTGGCAGTAATCCCCAGTATAATGATTATGGGAGATCATAAGATCACTGCTATGCTCCAGAGCAAAAAATCTAATTTGGGAGTAAATGCAAAGGAAGATAAAGCTAATAAAATATGTGAGGAGTCTAACATTGAAACATAATTTAAACATTTCAGAACTTGTGAGTAAGTTAATGATATGGAGGAAACTATGTGAAATACATAAAGCAATTATCAACCTCAAGAAATGTTTTTCAAGACAGGAAAAGTAATCATAGTTTATTGCATGACTTAATTGGAGGTAATATTCACCTTGTCATAATGTAAAAAGTAGATGCTAATCTAACAACAATGACAACATAACAATATCTGTGTCGTGGGAGGACAGAGAAAGAGGTTTATGTTAAGAGGAGTGTTGATAATGTTTGAAAGAAAGCTAAATCCTCATCTGCTGTGGGCATCAGAACATATGCCTAAAACTGGAGCATTTGAAAGTCACAAAATAAACTCATTATTTAGAGAAATTTAGGTAAATCCCCAAACAATCCATTAAATAAATTGAAGTGACTATCTCTACTTAGGGGGACATAAAGGTATAGGGCAAGGGGCTGCTATCTTAGGTAAGGCTTACATATTAGTTTTTGTGTGTGGCATTATCTATTAGGTAGAGTTTAACTCACAGTTATTTTAATCCCTACCACGTAATATTTCAGTGTTGTTGATTTATATACTTATCAGCCTAATAACAAAGTCTGTAGCCAGATAATGGAATGCTTTGGATGTAATGTTATATGACGATCGTGGGACAACTTGATATGATGGGGAAAAAAATGATTCTTAGAATCAGACCAGTGGTTCCAATTCCAAATGTGCTATTTATTAGCACCTTATGTAATCCTCTCCGAACTTTAATTCCCTATTTTGTAAATGATGAAATGTTACCCACTTTCAATGTTATATGGATTAAATGGTATCTATGAACCTGCACAATACCTGGTAACAAGAAGTACTCACCAATTTGTAAGATCTTATTCCTTCTGCCTTGCTGGGTGATAATCTCGTTGTGTCTTCTTCAAATTTCTGTAAACACAGTTTTAAATATTAGTAAAGGAATGAAAAAATGGATCTCATAAAAACAAAAATTGTTGGTATTATGATAAATGGTAAATCAAGCATTTACAGGGGACTTCTGGAATGGTGGAGCAATATTCTCTGTAAATTCACTCCTCCAAAAAAAAGTAACAAAATACTGGAAAAATGGTCAAAATGAACCTTCAGAGACTCTGAAAAGCTTGCAACACACTGACAAATGTGTATTCAAGTGAAACTGATAGGTTTCTCTAGAAACAGAGGGCATTTAAATATGGCTCCACTCCTGAGTTTCTGGTAGCCTTGAACACCAACAGCCTCTCAACCACAGAAGCTGTACAATCCAGCGGCCTAGCAGGTCTCAAAGGCCAGCTCCTCAGAAAGTCCATCTCCACAGCTATGTTACTTTTATCTGGCCTGCTCCCTAGAGGAATCCCACTCAGATCTGTCATTACTGGGCTTTGACTGGGAACTCCCTCACTGGGAAAATCCTATCCCAGTGCATTTGTTGAAAATGATCTCCAGAAACTGTTTGACAATGCAGCTACCTAAGGCTGTGATACCAGTTGGGCAAACAAGAGCCTGAACAAAAATTTTAAAAGAAGATCTGAGGAATGAGATGCTCATAGGCAGCTTTGAGAAGTTCTGATATCCTCTTGTAGATCTAGAGGATACACACACACGTGTAAGGCCGTGGAAAGACCTGGGAGGGCCCCAACCTCTCACCTCTGGCTGACCTCAAACCCTGTGCAAGCAAGGAAGCGAAGGTAAAGTCATGAACGTTAAAGGCATGCCCCCAAATATGAAGTCCCCTTGCAAAGGGTGGAAGACTTATTGGTTCAAGGCATTAAGGAAACCTCTGACCAATCACTAGTTGACCACTAAAGTCACTGAGCGGAGACCTCTGGCTGCACACTATGAGGATATGCAGATTTTATCAGTCCAGGTAAGTCATTAAACAACCAACAACAACAATAAGAAACACCAGCAACAACCACCTGTGGGATGCAAGTGGGAGGTCTGGTTTCCAGAGTTGCCACATTGTATTATCTAATATATCTAGTGTTTTTAACAACAACAAAAAAACATGTGACATGCAGAAATATAGGGCCCATACACGGAGGAAAAAAACATTGAAACAGCCTTAAGAGGTTCAGACGCTGGACTTACCAAATCGGACATTTACAAAGTCATTAAAGATATCTAGATCAAGGAAACTGAGACCAAATGACATTAATGACTTATATAATGGCCAACATCAGTCAAAGGAGTCTATGAATTTGTGATTTTCAATGCAGATTATTTCACAGAATGATTGCCTTCAATTTTAAGCATCTGTGTGTCTAAAAATATAAAAAATATATATTCTTTTTTTAAAAAACTGATAATGAAAAATATGGAATTATTTGAAAATATTCTAAATAGACTTTATGTTTTAATCTCTCTTTCAGGCCCTCCTGTTAATGTCACATGCAACATATTCATAAACAGCTTTGGCTCTATCGCTGAGACAACCATGGTAGGCATGTTTACTTTGTAACAAGTTTCACACTGGAGTAATTTGTGATTACATTAATGACAAATTTTTCTGGTAGTGTTATGTAATTTAAAGCCAAAGTTAATATAATGAGATTTTTGAAAATAAAATTAATGGTATAATTAAATTGCAATCAACTGCAGGTAATAGCAATTCATTTGGAGATGGTATATTAGAGAATAAATGTAACTGAAAACAAGATTGATTTTTCCCATTTTGGTAATTAAATATTAAATCTCAAATTAAAACTAAAATTTTGCCATATAATTTATTTCTTTTTAATGCTCTTTAATAACCAGACATAAACATAGGAGCAAATAGTTTCATGTTCAATTTTTCTGTATGCTTATGGTGTGTTTATAATATTATTTTAAGTATTTTATTTGGTTACTTTTCCAAATGAATATAGTATTTGCTCAGATATCATAAATATTTTGTGAATTGTGGTATATACCTTACTTTACTGAAACTCATTGAACAGAGACTTCATTAGTACGTAATCGAGAACATTTTATATAATGAAGTTATTAAAGCCAAAAAGTCATCATTACAGACCAAGTTTATTCTGATTTGATTTTGATTTTATAACTTTCTCTAAAGATCATGTTGTATCTCTGCTTTGCACTACAGCTTTTATTGAGCATTTTAGCTGAAATAAAATGCAGAGATAGACTCATGAACCACTCAATATCTGTAAAATTGTCTAGCAGGCAACTTTTTTTAATTAAAACTATGTATGGTGGTTCTTAAATTACCTAGAATTATACTCTAGTCCTAAATTTAGCAAGTATAATTTGCATTAATTTTCAAAGTTGATTTTAGCAAAATAGGATGTGAAATACTTAAAGATTTATTAGCTTCCAAAACCATTATTAAGTAGTGAGCCATGCTCATTGTACATATCTCAGAATGACTTGATAGCAAATTCTCTAAGGAAAAATAATCTAATATGTAAATTATTATGGGTGGATGTAGGGGTGTGTGTGTGTGTGTGTGTGTGTAAAGGATCTATCTCAACAGGAAGAGACTTTACTCAGGTATCTTTTTTTTAGTTCTCTTTTCCTCATGTGTGCAATATTTAGTCATTTAGTGGCATCTCTGTGGTTTTATCAAACAATATAATATAACTACAATAAAAGCATCAGTGAAGAAGAACTGAACTCACATATTTGGGCATTATATAGAATTATCTTAACTACAGTGTATAAATTAACATGAATGTGTGTGTGTTTGTGTAAAAACAGAGAAAATGTATATAATTTGCTTGCATTAGCACAGTGTTGTTCTGGTGCAATTCTGACTCTAAAATGACTATAATCCTGTTTTAGGCTTTGACGTATTCTGGATTCTCATTGGGTATTTGGGCCTGATTTATATCCTGCACTTGTACTATTGGGGAGAAAAATTTTCCTCTACCCTTCAAGATTCTTTTGGCTGGTTTAAGAACTAAATTGACATGAGACAGTTAATAGAGGATAATCAAATTTAATAGCATACATCTGAGGAATTCACATAAACATAAGAGATTCCAAAGACAGACAAAATGTGGTATATATGTCATTCTGAACTAGGGAGAAGGGGATAGGAGTCTGGGACTACAAAAGGAAGGAAAGCAATTCACAGGAAGGTGAAAAAGAGTAAATGTTTGGTAAACAAATGTTTGCTGGGCCATTCAGAAACAATGGGACATTGAGAGGACTTTGATCAAATAGGCCTTGCCAGGTTCCTACCTATTTACCAGGGCCCAGTTCATATTATAACTATAGTTATCTATGGCGCTAGCTCCCTTCCTGGAACAGGTCCTCTATCTAAATTCTTTTAGGCAGATTAGCAAAAAGAAAAACTTCTTGAGTTTTCTGTTTCTTAAAAATAATCAACCTAAAATAATCCATATGCCAAAGAGACACATTTTAGGATGGAAAATTTTGTTCCTCTACCGTACATTCTTAGTCCAAATCGTATTTAAAGATGAAGGAATCTTTGCTAGCTTTTTTCTATTTAGACTTTCCAAATTGTATTTCAAGCCCTGGCAACTTTCTCATTTTAATAGCTGCTATACACACCCTGTACAATCTCAAAAACCTAAAAATATGTTTATACTTTCTCTTTTGCAAGATCGTTTCCACAAAATACTTTCAGCAGCAATAGTGGGAAAAATTTACAGCCTTACTTGTCTTTGTGGGATGGAGGAAGAGACTTGGGAAAAAAGAGAAGACGTGGCCAGATTTCCTCCTCATTAAAACCAGAAAGATCGTCAGGTTCCTGAGGGTCTTTGCTTTTTAGAACATAATTCATCAGTCTTCCACTAAAGGGTTGTAGCACACAATCTAGAGGATGAGTACACCAGCTAAATTTCTTACCTGTAATAATTTTAGACTCCCTTTATAAAATAATATTACAAAAAAATCTTGCAGAATATTGCAAATACACTCTCTCAGTGACTCTTACTCGGTTTTATTTCCTTTCTCTAACATAGAAATCCTTTCTATTCCTACATATTCTATCATAATGTATTTTTTTGAAATCATTTTTAGCATCTATCACTTTCCTCTTCAGAATCACAAGCAACATCAATGAACATTAATCAGACATCTCAGAGAGAAAGTATTATAAAATTTACTATGTCCACTTTGTTATCTTTCTTTTTAGTCTTCTGAACTTTCAGATAGGTGATATTATTTCTATTCATATGATCAGATTCAATAGTTGTAAACTTTTTAATGGTATTAGATAGAAGAGCTGCAACATGGTATCCACATACATAGGAATGGAGAAAATTAACACTTATTATTATATTTCTATCTTAAGATTCATAGAGGGGCGCCTGGGTGGCTGAGTTGGTTGGGCTTCTGCCTTCTGCTTGGGTCATGATCCCGGGGTCCTGGGATCGAGTCCTGCATGAGGCTCCCTGCTCAGGGGGGAATCTGCTTCTCCGTCTGCCTTCCTCCCCCCAACTTGTGCTCTCTCTCTTCGCTCACTCTCTCTCTCCCAAATAAATAAATAAAAATCTTTTAAAAAAAAGATTCATAGAATATTTTCATACCACTGATTAGGTTGATAAATTTTATTCATAGTTTCTACCATCACAGCTGTGCAACTAAACTTTGTCCCATTATTTTATTTTATTTTATTTTTTTATTTTTTAAATTTTTTAAATTTTTTTAAAATTTTTTAATTATTTTTTCTGTATTTATTTTTTTATTTTTTTTATTCTTATGTTAATCCCCATACATTACATCATTAGTTTTAGATGTAGTGTTCCATGATGCATTGTTTGTGCGTAACACCCAGTGCTCCATACAGAATGTGCCCTCCTCAATACCCATCACCAGGCTAACCCATCCTCCCACCCCCCTCCCCTCTAGAACCCTCAGTTTGTTTTTCAGAGTCCATCGTCTCTCATGGTTCATCTCCCCCTCCAATTTCCCCCCCTTCATTCTTCCCCTCCTGCTACCTTCTTCTTCTTCTTTCTTTTTTTCTTAACATATATTGCATTATTTGTTTCAGAGGTACAGATCTGAGATTATTTTATTTGCTGTAATATTGTTTAAATTAATTTGTTTTTATAAGAGCATTTATATATTTTTAAAAATATTTACATTTCTTATACTAATATAGTTTACTTTTGTTTTTATAATACAAATGACCTAATTCAACTAAGACAATATATTAAAATTGTGAGGATGGAATTTCAAATTACCTATAATCATTAATGGATATCTTTGCACCTGAGATCTCATATCTAAAATAAATCTAAATAATTCTCCCAATCTATATATCTCCGCTTAACAAAGACCTTAACTGTCTTCAATGTCTGTTTACTGACCAAATATATTAAGCTCCCTCTGCTGGTTTAGTTTCTTGCAATTGTATCTTTCCCCATTTTAAAATTCATCTTTAGTCCGTTTGAGGTAATTATTTGATTCTTGAGAAAATTTCTCTAGTAAATATTCTACTTGCTTACTATTTCTGTTTTGAAAATTAAGTTAACTCAAAATTTTAATGTATTTTTGCATTTTATTCTTGCACCAAACTTGTTTTTTTAAATATTTTTAAATGCATTGGGGCATCTGGGTGGCTCAGTATATTGAGTCCAACTCTTGATTTCAGCTCAAGTCATGATCTCACGGTTCTGGGATCAGGCCCCAGGCATCATCTGGCTCCATGCTCAGCAGGGAATCTGCTTGGGATTCTGTCTCTCCCTATGCCCCTCTCCCTGCTCATGCTCTTTCTCTCTCCACCCCCCTTAAATAAATAATAAATCTTTTAAAAAAATTTATGTGCATCTTTCCAAGAGCATAAATTCAAAATTATTTTTAACTGTGAAACTCATCATTTCCCAATATTTATTTGTCTAATTAACTTAATGTAGTTCCAACCATTCTCACTTGAGCACAATTTTATTATTCTTGACATGTAATCATCAACTGTTTCCTATAAATATTCTGGAAATTTTAAACTTCCTTGTTTCTCTTACATCTGAGTCATGTGTCATGTATAACGAGATTCTATGAGGACATGTTCAGCCTTCATTATTCCAAGTTCATATTCTTCTTAAGCAGACAATGATTTTTCAACTATTGGAAACCACAGTTCTTAAAAAAAAAATAAATTCAAGATGAAACTGGTTTACCACCATTACAGTCATTCTTGTTCCCCTTTTGTAACATGGCTTTGGTAAGGGAGGTGCATCTGTCCTGCCTTCTAAACCTGTGGTAACAGAAGGAGCTCATTCATGATTGTTTTTATTGCTTCTCTGAGGGGAAGCTTAAGATCTCCACATTAATGTGGCTCCTGCAAACCTGTTATGAGTTGTGGATAAGGCTTAAATGCCAGGATGAAAGCATTTGTAAGTTGGGCTTTTTAAAAAAACAAACAAACTCATTTATGAATGTAGTAATTTGGGTGTGCATAGATAGCAGTGTCTCAAACTGAATATATTGGCTTACCCTCCTATCTTCAGAAAACAGATGGCTCTCCAT